TCGAGAGGAGTACAATTATAGCGTTAATTGTACTCCGTAGGAGTACCGAATTAAGTCGCTATGACAACACGGCCAAAACAATGTCAAAACAAGTATTTTCTATCATTTTGTAATTAAAAAACGTATAAATAAAATTTTAAAGCCGTAAGAATTAATGTTTTCTATGCATTTCAGTTGCGCGATGGACTGAAAATCGGCYGCCAAATAGACAAAGATGAACGGCGTCGCTTTGCATTTTTTACTGAAATTTTGTCGAGTGATCATGAACTATAAACAAAAAATCGCACGATCTTCTCGTACAATTTGGAATTAATARACACTCGTAATGTTTTGAAAGTTCTTTAATTGCACTCACCTAAAGGCTCGTGCACTTACAAGAACTTACAAAACATTACTCGTGTCTATTAATTTCCTTATAGTATACTTAACAAAATTACTCGAATTTGATTGGTCGAACATCACGAATATCTATAAATTCAGAGTTGTATGCGATTTTTTGTTTGTAATACAYTCAACAAAATTGAGCAACTTAATTGAGATTCTACAGAGTACAATTCTCTGGTTTAATTACTTCTCTTGTCCAGAATCGAGAAATTTTGTCGAATGTACTACAAAGACTGAAAATGCAAATAGTTTGTAAATCACTGCAAGACAGTCTGCAAATAGTTTGTAAATCACTGCAAGACAGTCTACAAATAGTTTGTAAATCAATGCGAGACAGTCTGCAAATAGTTTGTAAATCAATGCGAGACAGTCTGCAAATAGTTTGTAAATCAATGCGAGACAGTCTACAAATAGTTTGTAAATCAATGCGAGACAKCCTGCAAATAGTTTGTAAATATCAGTGAGACATTCTGTAGCATATTTTTTGCTAGTGCAAAGGTAATTTATTGCAAGCACGTGCATTACAAAACTGTTAATGTATAGCTATAAAACCAGCTTTCTATTATTTTTTCTCAGAAAGTAGAGTACAAACACTAAAAGTGTGCAACACTTTGCACTATTTAGTAGTAAGTAGTGCTAAGTAAACAATAAAAACAATAGGATTAGCATAATTTAGCAGTATTTAATGGTATTTATGTTACACACTTTTAGTGCTTGTACTCTATAAATATGAAGTAATAATTATTCTAATAATTTTTTCTTATAATTATATCAAATGAAAATCCTCTGGATTTACAAAACTTATTTTTTAATATCAAATATATTTAAGTGAAATATATGAAATAAATTGTAAGGTATAAGAAATATATAGAGGATATTACATGGGCGCGCGGAGATACGAAATTTATCTTTGAGTGTTGAAAAGATCTCTCATGAGTGAGAGATTTTCAACACGAGAAGATAAATTTCGTATCTCCAAGCGCCCATGTAATAATCTGTTTATTATATAAT